CTGCAAATGTGTCTGCACCTGGGACTGCTGACCTCGGCTCTCCCCTTAGCTGTGTCCCTCTGCACCCCCACCTCAAAGTCCTCTCGCTCACGGCCTCCGACCTCCTTTACCCCTGGCTCCTGGTAGGGACCCCCTCCTTACGCAGGAGACCGCCCACCGTAACCTCCAACTGTGAGCATGGCGGCGGTGGGGGGCTTCACTTTTCTCCCCTGCTTTCTTGTGTCTGTGCCCACCGCGGGACGTTTTGAACCTTTAGAGTGCTTCATAGTTCACCCCCACTTGAAAAAAATGCAGATTCCGAGGACCCTTAGTGATCTGAGTCAGCAGGTCTGAGAGGATCGGGAATCTGCATTTTTAGCAGCTTCCCACCTAAATCAGATGTATAAGACCTTCATTTTTAGAAACACTGCACAGGGAGCTGGTGGCAGGAAAGACTGAGCAAGCCTCCCCTACCGCAGCCCCCCCACTTCCCACTCTTCCTCTGTGCCCCTAACCTCACCCCTGTCAGGGTGGCCATCTCTGCTGTGGGTGTGAGGGGACCAGGTGGGGTAGGTGCCTCTCCTCCCCCCTCACCTGCACCATCTTCCTGTCTTACTCCACCTACCTTGACTCACCTTCTCCGTTCTTCATCCTAAATTCCCAAGAAAGCCAAATGTTGGGGGTGAGGCATATGGATCTTGGGGGGTGGGCAGAGCCAATCAAAGCTCTCACTGCCAAAAGAAGGAGGCAGGGGAACCCCTGGAGCTGGAAAAATAAATAAATGCTAACAGAAGGGAGGCAGGGCTTGAGAAAAGATAGCAGCAAACATGTAGGTCACCTTTCCATGGGGGATTACACTTGCTCCCCACAACAACTTGATTTAGACAGGTGCTATTGCCTTCAAGTTACAAATTAAAAAAAAAAATGTTCAGAGAGGTTAAGTAACTTTCCCAAGGTCACACAGCTAGTGAGTGGAGTCTAGCTAGGTCATTCATCCTTCTAGATCTCCAGAATCATTTCTCCAGAGGCCACTGGATAGCTGTCCCTGGCCTGCGCACCCTGCCCTCCCCCAGGGGCAGTGGGATGGGGAAGGGCATTATGGACGGAGATGAAGGGAGACGATCAGGTTTCGGAACATCTGACAGGTCTGGCTGGAAGCATTAAAAATTCATGCAGAAACCTGACCCCAGCTGGACCTTGGGCCTGCCACCTGGACTGTCCCTGGCCTGTGGCCTCTCAGAGCCTGGTGGGCCAATTTCTCATCAGTATTGTGCAGGGAGCCCAAGTCTTTGTGTTTCACAGGAAAGAGGAGGTCTGTTATGAATTAGAGATCGAAAGGCAGGGGCCAGCAGCTCAGACAGTAGGGCTGAGAGCCCTCCCCCCACTCGGAGTCAAGTGGCTTAAGAACCTAAGAGCCTATAAACCTTGTCATCTGGCGTCCTTCTCTGGGTCCTCTCCCGCTCACTCCCAGTTTAGGGTGACCCGCGACTGGCTGTAATTCCCAAATGGCCAGCAGGGGGCAGCCGCCTGCACGGAGGGGACCAGAGCCTGTCATCTGAGGAGAGAGGGAGAGGGTTTCCAGTTTGGGGGAGGTTTCAGGTGGGTTTGTGGGTTTCACCTGCTGGATAAATGGCGATCAGCACTAGCAATCATTCTAGAAAGCTAGAACCTAGGCGGTTTCTCCCAGGCACTGGAGGCTCCTTGCTCAGGTGCTCCGCCTTTAACCATAGGTGACAAGCAGCCATTGTCCCTTCCCTAGGGACGCAATGGCATCATGCCCATTTTGTTCAGATGGGCCTGGCCACCACGAGCAGGCCGGGTAGGAGGGAGAGAGAGATTGAGTGTAGGAAAACCAGAGAGGAGGTGATTGCTATTTTCTCCTATATTCTAGGCATGAGGTAATGAGTGAAGCAGGGAGGTGGTAGGGGGAGTGGAAGGGAAGACTTGCTGGGCCTGGGCGGGAGGGGGCGGGGAGCTAGCCAGTGAGTAGATCCAGGAGACTAGACATCCAGGAGCCCCCCACGGCTAGGCTGACTGTGGGCGCACTCAGAAAGCAGGAGGCAAACAGGTCTGCTTCTTCCAGGGATGGGGCATCCTGGACAAGGCCTTTCATCTCTCTGAGCCTCAGTTTCCCCATCCTAGCGCTGGTGGGGGATGGACCGGACAGCCTTGGGAAGCCCTTCCCTTTCGGGGTGCGTGGCTCAAGACTGTCACGCCGGCTTGTTTGGAAAGGCTGGGGTCTGTGGTGTGAGATCTCGGGGGTGGTCTCTGGGCGGGTGTGTGTGCTTGTCAGCGTTTGGGGTGCATCTGCCTGTTTGTGGCTGTGGGTGTTGGCGTGCCAGCACGCGCTCCCTAGCTCCGCAGTGTGCAGTGTGTGAGAGCGTGTGAGAGCGTGGGTGTGCACGTGATGGGCATCCGTGGGTCTGTCTGGGCCGGTGGTGGCGGGGGTGGGGGTGGTGGGAAGCGGCAGTGCTGCGGGCGCCTTCTCGAGAGACTCACATACTCCGCTTGCTCTCGCTGTTCGGAAATAGCATCTGGACTGAAGGCCCATGAATATTTCACAACGATAATTCTGTGACCTGGGCAGCCTGTTTGGATTTACCAGCATCCTGCCCAGGGTCCAGCGGCCCGCGCCCCCCCACCCCCGGGGCCCTTGCCTAGTCCCACTCCTTAGCCTCCTCACCACTCTGACAGATCCCTGGGAGCCCCCCACCACCGTGCTTGCAGGCCCCAGGTTCCTGATCAGCTGGTTGCTGGCACTAACTGCCCCCCCTCCCCATGATATCCAAAGGCCACCTGCCTCGGGCCAGGAGGATCTGTCTCTTCTTTCTGCCTCCTGACCACCCTCTGACTTGCCCCTTACCCCTCCTCCTCGAATCTCAGCCACCTCCCAAGGTAGATTCTTGGGCATTATGGACGGAGATGAAGGGAGACGATCAGGTTTCGGAACATCTGACAGGTCTGGCTGGAAGCATTAAAAATTCATGCAGAAACCTGACC